ACTTTTTTTTTGGCTTTGTTTATGGTAGGTCAAAATTAACTTAGCCCAAGAAATAGTCCATTCCATAGATGATAAGATTTTGTGACCACAATGTTATATTTAAAAAGGATACGCCTAAAGTTTGATAAATTTGATGTCAAAACTAAGCTTCCAATTAATGTTCTTTTGATAAATTTGATGTTCAAATGCATGCGTTACTGTAATTAGTATAATATTACGTTAGACTACGTTGAGCAAGCTTAATTTTTACATGTCTGACTAAGAAACACAAGTATAAAAATATGGTTCCCTTTATAATGTAATCGTCTCGAAATTCATAACCTTATGAAAAAATAATATTGTATGGTGTATGTACATGTATACATACATCATTCTTTTTGAACATGACATGTTAGCTCCTTTTTGCTAATGGTAAAATAACAAACCATTCATGCTTTTCTACACACTCCTCTAACTATGAAAATTGTAGTAGTAAAAAAGTAACTTTTGACAAAAGACGTTTGGACATCATGGAGTACTGTAGAGTGTATTTTCAAAGTGACTATTGTGCTTTGAAAAATAAGAATTAAATTATTCAAATAAACAAATACTTAAAGTTAATTAGAAATAGTTGGGTAATTTCACATTTACTCAACTATTTGTTATGATTTCGAATTACTATCATCAATTTAAACGTATATACAAACACTCCTCTAATTATATACTTGTAATTTTCATATATATATACACAAACTTTATTTCTAACCTAAAATTATGGACTTAGGTTTCAACATGTGGTGCTTCCTATTGTTTGGATAAGAACTAATGCAATTTTCAAATGAGCTCCAAAAATGCACATTTTTTGTTCTAACAACCAGAAAAATTTGGGCCAAATTTCCAAATTTAGAATCAACTTCCCTATATTGATTTTCTTTTTGTGGGGGGAGGGGAGGGGAGGGCAGGGTCGAATTGTTACTTTAATAATGCCCCTACTTGCTTCAATTCTTTTTTAAAGAAGAGGGAAAAGGAAAATTCATCCCAACGATGTAAACTTTATTGATTGATACATTGTTAACTAACATATAAGATTTGAAATTAAGCTTTGTATTCAGTTTTGATAAACCCTAAAGGCTTACAGATATAAGGGAAAGCTAAATTAATATTTAAATTAAATTGGTTGTTCTCAGAAGAAAAAAAATCTGTAATTCACAAATTAGACATTGCCTTTCTAGGTTTTAAGATCTATCGGCCTTTAGAGGAATGTATTAACACCTAAAAGATGAGACCAAACACATGCATCTTGATGGTGAATTCTAATTATGTATTCAATAATATTATGCAAGTATCTTATTTGGGCTATGCTTTTGGGGACCAATCGAAATTAAATATAATTATCGACCGATCATTAATTATGATGAATTCCTACTACATACTGTTCTAGAGATATATACACACACGTATAGTATAATATCGTGTATATATATATATATATAAATTAAAAATAATAATTGTACTAGATGAATTTGAAAGCATACATTAATGAAAATGGGATTTCACAGGGAGGGTAGTGTAGTAGAATGGATGGAAGTGAGAAATTAGAGGACAAGTTGCCTTTTATCCCCCCTCCCAATTGAGAGAGTGTCATGGTTGTCAATCAAAGCAATCAAKCAGCAGCATGGCCTGAAAACTAGGTGGTCCTCTTCCTCTACCTAATAAGTTAAACACTGTCCAGGATGATCCATCAACGTTTGGAGACATGCAATGCAGGCCGATCGAGAGATCAGGACGCCTCTATTTAATCCACGTTTTCAACTTATTATTTTAAATATAAAAAAAAAAAACAAAACAAAACAAAATTATTCCACACCCTCCGATCATCCATCCATCTTTAATCAACTGCGCAGCTAGCTTAATTAATTACACCTTCAGTCTCAGTAATTTAATTAATTACCTACCTGCTCCAGCTCCAGCTCCAGCTCCCTTTAATATATATATACTTTAGAAATTAAGAAAGATGATAACTTTAACCAGGGTTTGGTTGCATTCAACTTTGATAATGCCTAATGAGGCTCAGCCGCCATCAAAGCACATGAAAGGTTCTAGCCAAGTAATTAAACCTATCACACACCCACACCAAACATACACAAATATATAGACATGCATCTGTATATGATATATATATATATATATACATATATCAAAGGGGAATTAGCCGTAGCTTGGAATAAAGTTCAAGATACCTTTGTCTTAAGGGAATTTATAAATATACTGTGACAGAAAAGGTAAAAATTTTTAAAAGTAATGTTCAATTCAGTATATGAAGATATGGTCTGAGATTTATATTAGGAGAATTGAAGCCTTTTCACATGTTATATCATGGCCGACAACATAGATCTATGAGGTCGATGGTATTGAATAGATTTGAGAAGGAAAAGAATGGAATGATGTGGTAGAGTTCTTGCTATATATCATCATATTTAATTTTAAATGAATTTTACCTTGCAGAAAATTAAAGATATAATTGGTAGGATGGATGGAAGGAAGGAAGGAGGACCACAGTATTATAATTTGGGTGGTTGGGCTCCAAGTCTTGGGACTTTCTAGCTAACCATCAAGTTAGGAGGCTGTGACTAAACCTTCCCAAGAAAACTATATAATTATATATATACTTATAAATTAACCCGACCTACAAAACTGTCCAAAACGCAACAGGATATACAGCAGATGGAGAGAGATGGATGGGAGTCCGTACAAGACAAAGTGACAAGAGGGTCAATAGAATAACACACAGTTATTGATGTCTGGCTACATGTGGCCAAATTATTATACATACATATATATATATATATATATATATATATAAAAACCTTCTTTAATCTATGCGTGTAAAAGAGTAGGCATTAGATTATACATGAATAATTGGTAAGTATTAATTAAGACAAAACCAATAATAAACAAGGAGGTAGGCATTATAATAAGTGCAGTATAAACTAATGGAGATATAATTAGAAGGTGTTGAAATTGAAAACAACTGGCAAATTTTGGAGGAGATGAGAAGGGGAAGAGGGAAGGGAAGTAGTTGAAAATAGGAAGGAATACACGGAGCCCCAGGTCCAGGACCATATGACAGAGGCAACCTCACATGAGCCCAACCAGATAACTCATGGGCCCCTCCCTTCTTTATATTTCATTATTTCTCTTTTAACATGGAATCATTTTTATTCAACAAATTATTATATTATATACCAGACCACACCAATTATTATTTGGAGCTCAATTTTTTGCTAACTGAACTTGGATTTGTTAAATATTAAGAAACACAAATGAAATATGATCTCATAAGGAAATTAATACTCACTAATAAATACAAATTTACTTCATTAATTATATCTGAAAATATATATACACACACACTGTTTGACATTACTATCTAGCTAGTATTTTAGCTTCTAGGAAAGGTATATTTATTGGATTTGTGTACATTCTATATCATGAATATCAAAGCAAGGACCAATCTAGATTTGTTTTACATATTCAAACATGATATCTTTTTTCAAATTCAACTTTAAAGTATATACGTACAAGAAATAGACACGACAAATCTTGAAATTTGAAATATTCGACTAGATATCAATTGGTTGGGGGGTTGTACATGTTATCTTTAATTTATACAAGTGATTAAATAAAAAGTACAATTGTTTATCAAGAAAATATCATTAATTAAACACAAACTTGGTGAACAAATTAATTAGATGGTGTAAATTCAAGACTTAATTGATGTGTATGTATTGAATATTGATGTATAGGTTTTAAAAGAACAATAAAGTGATTAGAGATTATAATTAGTGTGAGACATAAATAAAGAAGCATATATGCACAAGTATAATTGAGAATGGAATACATAATAATAATATATAATAATAAATGCAAAAGTTATAAGTATTAAATTGATAAGTGAAAAATATATAAATGGGGGCAACATGAGAGAAGAAGGTTCCAGGTAAGCAGTGGAATCCCCAACCCCCACTCTGCAGAAATAATATCCACCTTCTCGATCTGTCTGAAAGTCTGATCTCTGAGATGACCGGCCGGAAGTCAAAAGTGGAAGAGAGGGAATTGTGCAGGTTGACGATGTTTAATTGAAGATGGTAATGGGGAAGAAGTGAAAGGAAATATTATTTATTTAATTAGATTATTGTTTTATTTTAGTAATATTAAATAAATAATGAGGTAATTAGAAATGGAATTAATGGAGGAAGTTAGTTCCCAATCTTTTTCCAATAATTCTTATATGTCAACCCTAGCTAGGTAGATGTTTGATTACCATAAGTGAATAAAACCCTCCGGAAAAAGCCAACACACCAATAGTACCTCCATCTCCACCCCTAAGATCATCTCATCATCATCATCATTAATAGTTTAATTCAGCGTCAATTTCTCCAACACTCTCCCCAGAAGCTATACTTCTCAATTCCGTCTCTCTATTCTATTTCTTGTTTCTATGGAGTAACATAGTACGTACTCGTCACATGACCAAGAACACACAGCATCAGAACCAAGTTTAATTGCATAGCTAGCTACCTATATATACATTTACATATATATATATATATATATATATATATTCAAATTCCATCTTGGATAAACGCAGAATCATCATGAATTTTATGGGTAAGAGCACTGGTGATAGTGGTAGTAGCACTAGTAGTAGAAGACAACAACAGCAAGGAGGAGGAGGAGGTGGAGGAGGAGGAGGGGGGAACTCTTTTGAAGAAGAAGACGAAGAAGAACGACAAAACACAGCCCCAGCAGGTCAGTTATTCCCTTCTTCTTCATCTTCTTCCCCATCTTCTTCTCATCATCATCATCATCATCATCATCATCATCATCCTCCTCCTCATCAGCCACCTCCTCCCTTCCTTCCTCAACATCACTACCACCACCAGAACCCGCGTGGTAGTTGGATGTTTGACGCCACCAGTCCACACGGAGGTGAACCTTCATCACGGCTTAGTGACCCTATGATGTTGGACTACTCCTCAGTCTCCGTCACGCCTGCATCCGGTAATAATAATGATGATGACCAACAATCTTCACCCCAAGCTGCAGGAGGGATGATGATGGTGGTGGAGAGAGAGCACATGTTTGATAAAGTGGTCACTCCAAGTGACGTGGGCAAGCTCAACCGTCTCGTGATTCCCAAACAGCACGCCGAGAGGTATTTCCCCCTGGATTCCTCCACCAACGACAAGGGTCTCCTCCTCAATTTTGAAGATAGGAATGGAAAACCCTGGAGGTTCAGGTACTCTTACTGGAACAGCAGCCAAAGCTATGTGATGACCAAGGGTTGGAGCCGTTTTGTCAAAGACAAGAAACTGGATGCCGGAGACATAGTCTCTTTCCAGAGAGGTGTTGGTGGTTCCGCCAAAGATCGCTTGTTCATAGACTGGAGGCATCGTCCAGATGCACCCACTCCGCCCTATCAATTATCATCAAATCTCTCTTTCCCACTACCACATCATCAATTTTCTTTCCCCACCAGGAACAGTGCCGGTATGAATATCCACCCTTGGAATCCACTCTTCTTGCAATCCCAACCAGCACCCTCAAGGAGCCACTCTAACTTGATGCTGCAATCCCCAAACAGCTACGTGCCCTCTTCCTACCGCTATGGCAGCACTGGCGGCCCTTACCACAACATAGGCACTGGCAGCGTAGTTAATGTGAATCAAGGTGGTTCAGGATCCGTAATTTATTTCAGATCAGGTGGAGGTGGTATCCCACAGCAACAACAGGTCGATATGATGCAAATGCAGCAAAGAAGTGGGGTTGGGATTGATCCACCCGCACTACCAGCACCACCTCCGCCTCCACCAGCTGTAGTGTTTGAATCGGTGCCAGTGGTCCATGGGAAAGCAGCAGCCAAGCGACTCCGACTGTTTGGGGTTAACATGGATTGCCCCATCTCAGATGACGACGATCAAGACTACGACCCAGCAATTGAATTGTCCCCCACCACGGCTTCTGCTAGTACTACCACCAATCCAATTCCCATGGGACATTACAATCATGCCAATTACCATCATGACCACTTTCCCCCTCATCATCATCCACCACCACAGTCGTCTTCTACCATTCCTTACCTGCAATTGAGGCCTTATGGAGGAGAAACCCAATTCCATCAAAGCACAATGGTGTCTTCTTCCTCTACTGATGCCTTGAACAAAACCAGCAAATCATCATCTTCTGATCATATGTCATTGGATTTGGATATGTGATCACACAATTATCCATCTTATCCACCCGTCAGCCAACAAAATAAGAGATCGTATAGCTACTACCCGTGTGGCTTAATCATCAGATGATACATTATGTTTGAGAAGCCAGACTTATATGTAGCCGTTCCATTAATTACAGAGTTTTGATCTGATCTGATCAATCTTTTTGTTCCCAAAAAATACATATTTAAGAAGATCAAGTGAATCAGTGGCAAGAAGTTAATTTAGAGGGTGGAATCACAAATCCAATGAGTTCCAGGTAGGAGGTAGCTGCGGTTATTGATGATGGATGATCGAAAGAGAATTAAGGTGATTGGAGAGTGCTATATATAGTGATTTGCTGCAAACCAATGGAAGTTCAAACTGATTTTAGTTTTCAGCTACTTAATTTAATTAGTCTAATGTACAATTTTCCAGTTATAAATTCATTCACACCTTCACTATTAATTAATATTACTACTTCACTATTGACTAACATCACGATTTATACACACATAATCTGTAGTTAACACGTGATTGTATATGCTGTTTCCTAGATTTGTTATTCTTATATATCTTTCTTTTTTAAATCATATATATATATATATATATATATGAAAACCCTTTTGTATAGTATGCATACATGCTACGTTCGCCACAGGAGATCAGCTTTTCTCCTTTTTTTCTTTTTTTTCTTGTTTTATATATATATATATATGTTTCAAAAGAAAATGGTAAGAAGAAGAAGGGAAGTATGCTGACTTTTGTCCGTGAGAACAATGCACAATGTGAATGAAGAAGAAGAACAAGAAACAATCGAAGTGGAAGGGTTTGGGCTTCTTTCTTTCTTCTTCTGTTTTGTTTTTATTACCTTTTGTAGGTTTCTTGCTCTTGTCGCTGCCGCTGCTACACCTTCCTTTGGAGACTCTCTCTCCGCAGGTACTTTTCTTCTCTCTCTCTCTCTCTCTCTCTCCCCACCCGCCAATGCACACACAGAAAAAAGTTTCTTTCTTTCTTTCTCTGTGCATGTTGCTTGTTACTAGACATCTCTCAAGAATGGTTATCATTAATTCTTGCTACTCTTCTTTACCTGTTTTCTCCATATCTTCACATACTACATTTTTCACAAATACATACATGTCCTTTCTTTTCTGTTTAAGATCAGTTTTAATTTATAACTCTCTAGCTAGCCAGGTCCCCTTCTTTGTGTTATCTTTTTCTTTTTTACAGTACTCCTCATCTCTTTATCAGACTTCACATTTCATGTTAGATGTTCAACCATTGTGCTTACTTTTTATTATTACTTTGTCTTCTATTGTCAAAATGTTACATCTTGTAGTTTGATCTATTACTTACTAGTTATCAGTTTGCCATTATGATATATGGCTGATCAAGATCGATACACTTACAATATATATGTATGCTTCTCTCTATCTTCAAGTTTATAAGTAAATATATATACATGTGACAGTTAAAACATACAAAGAATAATGATTCTCTGTAAACACTAAGTACTTACATACACATACACACATGTATGTATGTATGTATGTATGTATGTTCATATGATATAGCTTGAATATGAAGTTTGCATGCTATATATGTATGCATTTCGTTATGTAGTTAGAACATGACCATGGAAGCTCTAGCTCCCTCTTTATTAATTATATGCGTGCACACAAGGACACAGACTAAAGTAATGACTTTAAATGCCACTTACTTATACAATACACAAATTGACATCTTGATCCTTAATTTATGTAACATCCTTGTTTTTCCTTTCTCAAGGACATCAATTTTGCCAAACAAAAGCACCAACATTTATTACTACTTGTTTCAGTACTTATACCTAATCATAAGCATTTTATTAAATAAAACTTGTTGGCCTTGGCTGTTTAAAACAATTTTAATAACATGTCCTTTCGGGAAACAGTAGAAACATGATAGTGTATATGTATATATATATATATATATAACCTATATTGCTTGCATCATTAATGCTAGCCAGTACTATAATAACTTGTTTTCTTAATCTTGGGAAAAGTTAGAGAACAATTGAATGGGATTACAACGTAGGCTTATGAATATGGATATGGAGATTACAATGTCGTAGAAATCTATTGAATAACATATATACGACATCAAGAATATGATGGAAAAAGATAGCTACTTCTAATCAAAGAACCGAAACACTCACCCAATACGTAGATGAGAGTCATTCACGTTCAGGCATATATTAGAATTCTTTTGGTCCATGATATAGAAGTATATTAGACAAGATCACTGGATTTAAATTAAAGGCCTGGCTAGAAGTTTCTCATGTGATCAATATAGACTTTTCTCTAGACCTTAATTAGCTAGTGAAGGATTAGGGTCGAGAAACAAACTTTATAGAACTTGTTTGGAATTAATTATTGTTAATCAAGGTATTTACCCTCGATCCAAGCTAGCCTTTCCTCAACTTTAGTCTTTACCTTTCCAACAATTTAAGTGATCTAGATTTAGGCTTGTGCACACACATGCTACTACTGTTACATATATACCTAGTGCTGCAGATAGCCCTTTTTTAATTTAAGAAACATGGTTCTCTTGAGAAATTCAAGAATTTGTTTAATTGCTTCCCTTCCTACTTTACCTGCTCATCAGCTCCCACTATAAAATTGGTAATTGAATCTAACTCATGAAATAGGTTAATAGTGGAAGGGCCTTGATCAAAACGAAGCCTCTTTGAACAACAAGTCGTTATAATCAATAGTTGTGAGAAGAAATTTAACTGAAAATACTTGGGAAAGATAATAGTGATGGCCTTCCTCTCATCCATGCATAGGGGTTGGACTATACACACACCGACACACGCATATAATAGTAGCGGGCAACTGATCCTTGGAACCATGGTAAGGTCTTTGAACTCACTTGGGAGTAGATGGGAAAACAAGTACATTACAAATGATCTCCAAGTGATGAGTTCTACCTAATCCTAGTAATGGTTATATACCATGAAAACATTTGTGTCAAAGAGCATAAATTAATGGATAACAGACAGTTAAAGTGAACCACCAAAAGTAGAAGCAGAGATTAAGAGCTCAATGCTCCTGAGTTTGATGTTACAGAAGGAAGAAGAACTTGGAAAAAGAAAGTAGTATTGATAAATTGACAGAACGTTGAAGATGCATTGTGTAAATCTTTCTTATCTTCTTCAGGATTGGTTTTTGGTAAAATATGTAAAGTACGAAGGAGATACAAATGTTGGTAATTAGGAACTTGTAAGTTTCCCCACCGGAAAGCTAGGGGATGGGGACTGATTACACAGCAGGTTGTAGATATTGAGATTGAGTACCCAAAATATAAACTTATGATCTTGTCACAATGACTAATTGGCATGATTATTCGAGAAGACAAAGGCTAAAACTGGCCATCAAGTCATAATGGCGTCAAACAGACTTGGGCAATACATGATCAAGATTTCAATTAATCTATGTAAATATTCCTAGTTAATTATCAAGCAGAAAGGAAGGAGGGAACTTTGGAGTCATCAAAAATATAGTAGTATATATGTATGTATGTATGTATGTATGTATGTATGTATGTATGTATGTATGTATCAATATTCTTGGCAAGTTATATCATGCATGTCACATTGGTTAAGTTCGTTTAAGAATGTCTTAATTTCATAAACTCAAATCGTATGTCAAATAACAATGTTAAATTAAGCCGTTAAATATTTAGTCACTACCAATATATGTTGTCGTAGAGTACATATTGGGTTCTTTTGCACTTCAATGCGTTCTTTTATATGGCATCTAGAAAAACCCACATGTAACTTAAATATAATAGTTACCTCCTGGACTTATTTAAGTACTTTTCTTAGGAGCCTTGATGATTTGCAGACAAATTTGACAACTGAAATCAGACCTGAATGTAAATGGTTGGTAAATAAAGAAATGAAATTGATCTCCTGATAACTCATTTTGTTTAGTATGTCTCAACCTGAAGCAGGTACATATTTTGAATGAATAAAGAGACAAATTTAGTACCAAAATTTAGTTAACGGAACCTATTGGAAAAGTGATGGCTTCGAATACATGGGGCATGAGAGAGGGGTTAATTAATATCATATCGGGTGCAGACATGATTATCTCTCATTACTTAGCATGACTTAATATACATATATACATCAAATATGCATGTGTGTGTATACAAGGAAGATCTAGAATGAGCAATTGACGATGATTAACTTTGATGATGATATAATATTATTTTGGTCTTACAGTAATTAATGATTCATATGATAAATCACGTTTGCTTATTACTTGCGTAGATATGTATTGTAGCTATCCTCTAACCATCTTAACATCTTCTGAATTTTTCTCCTTTAAGTAGATCTGCCCCTCTTTCTTGCTTGTTCGTGTGCTTCTCAAGTGACATAATAATATGACCAGTAATTAACCTGAAATTCTGACCATATGAGAGATATTCCAAGCCGTGCCGGAAGGAGATCGAAAATCAAATCAACATAGAAATAAGATTGTGGGTGAGTTTCCATTTTAATTTCTAGTTGATGGAATTCTGATTTATGTGCGTAAGCGTTTGGTTTTTGTTGATTATATTATTTTTTGAATTAACCAAATTAATTTCTTCATTTTTAAGGGGTCTCTTGAACTTTTATGAAGAAGCATGAAAATGTTCTACTTGGTCAGGATGTATATATATATATAATATATATATATATATATATATATATATATATATATATAATAGCAGTAGAAGGGAAAGCAGTGTGGATGAATTGAGATATATGACTTTTTATCCCGTTTTATTTATTGGTTTTGTAGCTAGCTAGCTAATATAATAGCATGCCACACCTGTTAGTTTAAGTATTAATATGGCTAGCTTGTACATATATATTTTGTGAACCAATTAATTAAATATTGGATGAATAGGGGAAAGGGAAAGTGATGGGTGCAGGAGCTGAGCAAGTACTGATTATACAATGGAACAACATATATATATATATATATATATATA